AGGGTCTTTCCGAAGCACGGTTGGTGACAAACACGCGAACGTCGGCAATCCGCTTTCTCGCCCAGCTGTCAGGAGGAAGGAGTGCTGCTCCTCATTGATTGACCAGACAAAAACGGGGAAAAAGGATACAGGGACAGAGTAGATAAGCGAATGGCGTGTGATGGAACTGTTTGCTGGAGCAGCATGAGAGCAAAGCCTTAGTAGAGCGAAGAGTGCATTTCAGTTCCATGGTTCATCAGTAGGCGAAATACTTCCCGGTTGCTAAGGCCGAAGTAAGGGGTTGTCTCAAGGGGCAGCCACCCCGAGCCTTTGACTCAGTAGCTTACCGGTAAGGCAGCGGGGCGAATTCAGGGAATGGCGTCTATTAAAAGCCTGTGACCGATTACTCGGTTCATAAGCTTTTCGTTCAGTCAAGTACCAAGAAGGGACCCAATCCTCCCCACGATGACAGCATCTCGCAGCTGAAATACAATGCTCCACAGTTGTGAAACAAGGAGTAGTGAATTATTTAATGTAGAGTCACATCCACTACGTCGCAGTGTTGTTAAACGGATATGTGGCATTTTATAGGAAGAAGGCTTGCCAAGCAAAAACCCACCACGGGCTGGAACCATTCGGTAAAACGGAAAAATCCCGAACCACAAGGAGGTTGTTCGGCAAGCCAGAAATGGTATAATAGAAACAAAAATATTCAAAGCTTGACTGGGCTCGAAGAATGGTTTTGTGAAAGCTTTAAGTTTATAAAAGCAATTGTACTAAATTGGAAGGCGCCTCTTTGGACTCACCATATTGTCCATATTAACATAGTTGTATATCCATTTACCCAGATTACGTAGGGGTTGGAGAGCACAAAGTCTGTCTGTGTCTTGTCGTCATTCAATGAATAGAAATCATATCAAGTAATTCCGGTAGTGTAACGTATCATCCATTCGTTTTTAAACCTGGGTAGCGCAGAAGCCGAAATAACACGATCAATGGATCGGCATTCTCGCCGACTTTGTTGGGTGCATACTTTAGCTGGCGACTACCCAATTTGGTGTTGTGGCTGTTTTAGAAAGTGGTGGCGAGCATGACAGGGGTTTTTATGATTTGGTACGCCTAAATAAAGTCACATCGTAGACTGTGATAACGCCCACTTTACACTGTCAAAGTTCTCAGTCGCAGCTAATATGGCAGGTAGAACCATCTCTTCGCATTTTTCGTTGCTCTTCATTGTGAAGTCTTCAGTATAACCAGGTCACGTTCTAACCAGGGTTGCCAGGCTTGGATCGCGTAGTGCACACTCGAGAAGATGGAGCGGTCGAATTAACCGAACACCTTCCGTAAGAGAGATAGCGGTTAGTTCGCGGATTCGGACGCCTTTCTTGACTGTGCTGAACAGCTGAGGTCATCAAGCGTCACCGCCCCAATTTCGCGCACCTGTGAAGTGTTAGTTGGCTGGTTCCGCTGGTTTCGCTCAAGTATCATACGGGTATCACGCTATACTCTAATTATTCATGTGTGAAGGGAAAAGCATGCACAAGCCACAATATACTACATAAATTACCGCAGCAGGTATGCTGTTGTGGCCGCCTGAGTTGACAACATTCAGTGATGTGCAAAGCCACCAGCCGCTTGCAGTTGTCAAGTTCAGGTAAATAACCGCCGCACATAAGTTAGAGGTAATTTTAAAGTGCCCATTGTGCGCGTGATCTGCGAAATACAATCTATCTGTAAACAGTGATCACCAGTTCAATAGTTCAGTAGTGTATGATGGAATAAAAAGCATGACTTTACAAGACCCACAGGATGGATATGCAAAAGAAAATTAAAATCAACTTGTTCCAACCTGGACCGTGAAGTCTCAGTGGTTAAATCATTGCACTTTATAAAACTGTTGTGTAACGCTTATTACTAAGGTGAAAGTTTAAGAGTCTTTCGAATGTTGTCATGTCTGGTGCGTTCACCACATATCTTGGTAATGTATTCCACTGAGAACGGATACTAAGTGAGCAGAAAATACTTTCTACAGTACAGATGGGTGTGTGGCAGCATTAGTTTCAGGTAGTTGTCTCGGCTATGTTTGTAAGAGGCTAGGGTCAACAGTGATGTATATGGATGCTCGTTTTAAGTTAGTATTAGGTACTTGAGAGTAATAGCTCCCCGAAGCCGTTGGTATTCTGATGAGAACACACCGAGTACAGGAAGACGCAGTTTATAACTGAGATCGGATGGTTCACGCGCTGCCTTTGTAGCTCTTATTTGGGGTTGCTCTAACCGGCAAATGTCTCTTTTCAACCATGGACACAAGGCCTGAATTGCATATTCAACGCGAGGGCGAATATAGGAGTTAATCAGCATTGGTACTAGACGTAGCTCAAAGGTACCGAGAACTCGCTTCAAAAGTCTCAAGTTCAAGTTCGCCACACTTGTTACTTTCGAAGATTAGAGCGAATTGCCAAGACTCTCTTGCACGATTATAACTAAGTCGCATTCACTAGTCATTTGTTGTAGGAGGTGTTGCCCTCAAAGGTAGTGCGTCTTAAGCAATTCCATCACCCAGGTCTTGTATGAAATAGTTGAAAGTAAGGTGTTCAACATTCGCAGCACCGTTTGATCGGCATCCAACTATCCTGGGACCAAATCGCAGTAGCAATACCGTAAAAGTTGCATACTTTGGACCACTCAAGTGGCTGAGCCAAAGTGGCCAACATAGACAGAGGGTCAGTTCACAGAGATCTGAATCCATAAGGTCTACATGGTGAACGATTATGTAATGAAAAAACTGGTCAAATTAGAGAGGTGCTCAGGCTCTAGAAGTGTACACATTCAGATGTTTCACTATATGTCTAACTGCTGCACATTGACTCTTAATTTTCAACCTGTATTGGTCCGTACTTGGATAGCTATGAAATAATTCCTTACGGAGATATTTAGAGGTTCCTTATATGCTTCGTATATGTGTGATAAATGAACTGAAAGATGCTGAACCGGCCCACAATCGACGTGTGTGAACCCCACAAATTCGATGTTTATATTCAGTGGGAAACATTAGGTAAGCTGTACAACTTTGATCGATGAGATGATATAGCACCTAACTCAGGTACACCGCAGTCCTCCGAAGCCCATTCACACTAACAAATAGGAGTGACGCTAGCTAAATGTCCACAGCATCACACCCCTGTCTCTTTTGATCCCGTAAGTACTAGTTCCCTGTATACTAATTTATGTACTCATGTTCTTACGCTTCTGTTATACAACAAATACATTGAGCACATTATGATCCACCTATTTTGCAAAGCATAATATTTGCTTCTCTTCAGGAGGCGGAAATGAGCAAATGACTTGCATATACTTGTTTTCCAGAAAAGCTTGACAAAAATGAGTGATATCTGGCCTTAACTATTAAATCATTAATGCCATAAAACATTTTTCGAGTCAATTGACAGGATTCCTAAATTCGCCTCTTTGCTTGCACAATGGATCTTTATCAGGAGTGAAATGGTGTCACATCACTATACTCTCAGATGTTGTAGATGCCTGAGACTGTGTTTATCGAAGGAGCCGCTCAGCTTCATGTGGATTGCAACTTCAGAACTCGCTTTGTATTAATTAGCCGACAACATCTATCTAAACGGACGATCTGGGCTGTGAGAATTAAGGGCTGTGGGCAGAACTATTTGTGTTGAACCAACCATGATTATACATCAGTGCTTATAAAGCAACGTGTAAACCTATATCTTATGAATAGGTAAACAGACTAGCAGTTAAGTACAGAAATAATTCCACGTAACCAACTGGAGCAGTCTGTACTCGTACAATCGCGCAATATGTGGCGCATCAAAGCAGTGTTAGGATATCAGTCTTATACAAATATTTGCCAGGTATATAATAAAAGTTAAGAGTAAAATGCAAAACAGGCAGTTCAACCGTTAATCCAGATTCTAAATGCGATCTATAGTAGCAATGACCGATCATCGTGGTTCCAAATGCGAAATATGGTTGGCGACATCCGAGTTTCGGATTTGTCTACCACATTGGCCAGCCACATGACGCCTGCGCCTAAGAAAGGAACCATGGGCGGCTGGCGCTGCAGCACCCACAGCTCCATCCACACACCCCATATCCAGTGTAAAACCGAAGGAATAAGACCGGGAGGCATGTGGATGGGAGCCACGTTTCATCTACGGAACCGGCCCACACACCTGCACAGACAACCACAAGCACGCTGTACTTGGGAATCAAGCACATACGAGGCGGTGGCTGGACTGTAGTCCGCTCCACACTCAGTACATGGAACATTTCTTTGAGTCTAACACGACCACAATGACCGTGCACCCTGTCCCCTCCAGCAACGGCCAACTGTCTCCTGGAGCCAATATGGACGAGGTAGTGGGTAATAGACAGGTAGGCACCTTGTCAATATGCACATCAAGCGTAGGCACACCGGGGATATCAAGCAACAGCCAATCAGTTGAGACGACAAGATAAAATAAAATAAATCGGATAATGCATACAGATACGGTGACATAACTTTTCACTAAATGAGCGTATTTAAAACAATTGGTTACGACCGAATCCGCGATAAGTTCAAGACGTCAGTAAATATAGTTTAAGGAAATGCCACAAACGCGAAAAAGTTATCGAAGTTAACTACAATAAGCTTCAGCAAGGTGTACAAGTTTATAGAAGATGGTTCAGGTGCAAATTATGAGAAAGAAAAGCACTAGGACACTTATGGGGCCGTGTACCGTCCGTCGGCAAATATACAAATTTATTTATTTATTTATTTCTTTATTTAATTACAAACCCACTACCTGAAATAAAACAAATGCAACCTGTACAGCCCACAGTACATAGTGGCAATGGCAACTTATTGATCCAGGAATTCACCATGATTTAAGAGTACGACATGGAATATTCGTTGTGCACGGGTAATCGATTTATTACTGACATTCAGGGAAGTCCGTACAGCCGGGCCATCATATGTACTTTTAAGCCAATGTGTGAGTTGCACCTACCTGACTGTATTTGGAGTCACATTCGATCCACTCAAACGTCCGAAAAGCGAATCCATGGATTGAACTGTCGTAAATCCACCGAAATCGAACAGATCAGATGATTTATGGTCCACCAAGGGCAACTCTGTTTCGAAGGGAAAAATCGGGGTGGTTTCCATTTCTTTGCCAGTGGATTCAATTGTTGCTGTTGGTTTCAGAGGAGAAGTAAGCTTCAGTTAGATCCCTGAGAGAAATGCTAACTTACAAAAATGGGTGTACTGAAATCAATTACGGTGGAAAACTTAATGGTAAATCTTAGAGGGGTAGGCAAATATGTTCCCGCAAATAAAATACTAAAGAGAAACCTGCTGATAAAATGGAAACAGCGGTACCAGCTTTGTGTCACATTTAAAGACAAAAGCAACCAATTTATTTACTCTGGCATGGGTAACAAAAAGTAGTGGGTCGAAAAGGGTATATGTTTATCATGCCTATATGCAGTCGGCAGTATTGCACAGTGCAAGTTATATAATTTTGCATCTTACTGTTGGTAACTGAAAGTCGTGGTATACTTACAAGATCTCGGTCAACATGAATTTGAAGTCCCATGTCAGGCCGTTCCTCTGTACTGCATTCAGCAAATGTCAAGATTAGACAGCTAGTATGTAACTACGAACTCCCAGTTGACTTAATATTCCACAGTGGTGCACGTAGACGGCTAGCACCAAGATAGACGTGTTCTCCATAAGCATCGCATTTTTCGTTTGTCGATACCACGGATAGTTGGGCGTAACAGCTGGAGAAACTGGCATAGTGAAATAGGGAAACCCAGCTGAGGTTCGTCGGCGCCTACCATCCTGTATGAAGGTGCTGTTTTCGTCAGCGGATAGTGGCTAGCTCAATGTGACACAGGCAAAAATATATCGACCCACTTCTCTTGAGAGTATAAACTTACCCTATGTTTTAACCATTTGTTCTCATGTTTAGCTGCTTTTTGTCTATCACTTACTCACCTTCATCATCGTAAGCGGTCATAGCAACCCGATCCGTTGCAATAGTGATGACTACAAAACGGCTTCTCATACTAAGACGCCTCATACTGCGGAAATCGTGAGTAGCATCGAATGCCTTCCAACTAATACACACATTATTAAGGTTAACCACATTAACACGCCCTGTATTTCCGGTGAATGCATGGATCAACCCATAGGAATTTTCTCCTCCAAAGTGAGTGGCTTTCAATACAAGCCGGAAGATCTTCACTTATCTAGTTATTAACAAATTGAATAAAGGAATATGCCCCACATACCCAAACAAAGACAAGTCAGTTGCCGTGCGGTCGCACTTTAACTCTGCTGTCGCTTTGCCCTCTGTGGCCACTCTAATTCTCCCCACACAATATTGTGTGTGCGCTGGATAGAACCCGTTCTATGAGCTCTACTCAGTGTTTCCCAACGCTTGGATCTAACCTGTGTGGATTATACTCATGCTCCAGTTCTCAGTTTCCGGAATATTCTTTGCCGAGTTCTACGTGAGTAGCTACACCAAACCGGTTTTTCGGAAAAGATTTTTGTCTCATTGGAAAGAAGAAGCTGATACCTCCCAAACTACGCGTCAACCATCCCTGCAAGTTGCAGCATAACATAGTTACAATCCTTTTGCTCCGCTCATCAACTAAACAGCTCTAGGTACGCTTATCAACGCTCCACCTGCATCGTCGCTTAAGGCAGGCCGATCAACACACGCTGCCGCTTCGTGTAGGTGTGTGTGTGTGTGTTCAACTGCGACTCGATTGATCGCTGAACCCGACCGTCTGGGCGTTACGACCGAAATCTGCCTCAACCGACTGACCTTGGTGCGGTTGAACCACTCACTCGTGTGCGCGTTTTGATCTGTTTTGTGTGTCATCCCTGGCGCAAAGGACACTCATCACTGTGAGCGCTCAGATATGTCTTGCTGCAAACGAAAAGAGAACGCCTAGCATTCTAATAGTTCAACGTCACCTATGTTGTGCTGAGGATTTCAGTAAAGTCCTTAAGATCGGTGGAACTTGTTCTAGCTGCGTTAGACCGTACTGTCCGCGATGTGTAGGCACACCCGTTCAAGAAGTGAAACAGACAAACAAAGTTGCTGACACAATTTGGTTTTGTCCAACATGTGAAGTCATTCCACTTGTCAACTGTTGACCTTTATTCACGAAAACGTGCGATAGAATCACTAAGATAATCGCGCATTTTGTAAATATTAAGATCCATCCCACGGAGGTAAATATTGCCACGGTAATACCCCACCAAGCCGAAGTAAGTTCTGAATCTAAGCCCAAGAAGAGAGCTAGACGCTCCAACTGCACTGCAGCGTCTGTGACTAGATCCACTGGGTCACCTCACTCCCATAAGTGGACCAGCTCAAACTTGCCTGCTTACACTTCTCCAACCATAGACGCTTCATCTGGAGATTTAGCCATGATACCGAGAGCTCAGAGCAGAAGGCAATCCGGTGCAAATAACAGGCTGGTAACGTACGCATTGATTGCCACGACAAACACACCGGGAGCGAAACAAGTATGTCTATCTTCTGTACCGAGAACATGTGGAGCAACGCAGCTTTCACCGTCAACTTCAGTGGTGCCTTCTAAACAACTCAAACTGCCAGCAAATGCTATAAGCCAACAATCGCTAGACAAAACCACGCTGCGTTAGCTCTCGTGTGCAACAATGTTCCCGAGTCCAAAACTGGCACAATCTTAGTCAAGTTGCAAGGCGATCGCAATCAGTGGAGTTCCATTTGCGATGTGATTGGTATTCGGATAGAGCCTGCAAAGCTGCAACTAGTAGCGCGTCGCCCGACCTCAGTGCATTCCGGTAAACCACGAATTCTTCGAGTAACACTAGACTCAGCAGATGAGACAGCAGCTGCCCTGCTCTCAATAGTTCTTCTTCGCAACTCACCGAGCGGAGTGCATATATTAACCTATCTACCTTGGAAGGATCGCCTAAAAGAAGCAGATGACAAACGCGACGTTTCTAATAGGGATAGCAAGAAAACAATATTTGTTCGTGGTGTTCCCGAGCTTCTGCATTCTTCTAATCGCAAACACATGACCGAGAGCAGTGGTGCTACATCCTCGAAGGACTCTCGGTGGACAATGTTATTGCCAAATCCCTGGCAAGAGTTCCGTCATCACCTAACTACAAGGGCTGCAGTTCAAGACAGATGAAAGCAATAGGACACTCCGGGGGAATGACGCAAGTTCAGTTGGATAGCTGATGAAAATTTTGAGCTAGGTTGCCAACAGAGATCAGGCTAAAGGCAGCAGGCAAACGGCCAAAAGTCGTAAACAACTAGCTGGAAATTGCAAACGCTGCAAATTCTTTATCTGCCAGTCCTACGGAGAGACCGACACAACAGCGCCCACGGCAAGCAACGGGGAAGAGCACAGCACGAGTGAAACGTCAGTTTAGGAGCGCTCAATAATGCCATTCAACATGACTGAAATTCGTAAACCAAAATACGATTAATGGCAGGCCACCTAACGGCATACTTAAAAACTGACACAAATCTGACATTCATCAACGCACTCCTAACAACAAGAGCCCTATATTGCATGTACACAAACACCCAAGGCCTACTAAGTAAGTTGGCCGAACTTAGAGAACTCCATGCCTTGCAACTGTGGGACCACGTCTTGATAACAGCGACCTGGTTAAAACTTAATAACAGATTTTGAGATCAAGTTAGCTGGTATGCCGCTGCTTCGGAGCGATAGAATCGGAAGGGGTGGCGGTGTGATTCTACGTTAGAATACAAACGTCCGATGTGCAGTTATCGAGCACCCAGAAATCCGAGCTTCTGATTCGCTTTGGTGCCACCTATGGTTGCGAGACAAGGACAAATGTCAACTAGCCGTGATTTACAGTTCACCAAACTCAAGCTCGGAAATGGACTCCAAACTGAACCACCACTTTCCGTTTGGTTTAAACAAGTCCTACTCCCACATTCTTATTGCTGGAGAATTTAACATGCACGACATAGAAACACCAGCAATCAACGGTATGCAGTTTAAAGCCTGCTTGCAAGAGCTAAGTGCTTGCCCTTCTGTACAACCACGTAACCCCTCCTACCAGATTTCGAACTGCTAACAAGCCGTTGATACTGGATCTTGTGCTCACTAATGAAGAACTCATGGTTGACGGGACAGTTACAAGCCCACCACTGGGTCATAGTGACCAGGTTACTACACTATTGGACTGTATATGCTATGCGGAGTATCCTGAAAAGGAGGATGATAAAGTGCATATTGTCAAGCACTATAATGTGTTATCAACGCTTGTTAAGGATACATCTTGGACTTTCTTAACCGAATGCTTCCCAGGTTTTACCTGGTGAATCTTTACAAGGACGTTTAGCAAACTGGTAGCGTACGCATCGGGACAGCAATCCTTCCAAACCCAAAAGCACACATACGTCATTTCTAATGAGCTGAACAAGTAAATGTATGTCCCGGCTGGATTTGGCATGGCGTGATCATAAGGACTGCTCGAATGTCGAAATCTGGACTGCCTACGTGACATGTCGTAACTCCTGTGTGAAACTGATCCGTGAAGACAAGGTCACTCATCAGCAGGAGTTAATGAAGCGATTCTGCACGAGCCACAAACTTCTGTACAGGCACGTCAACGGCCTTCGAAAGGTGAATCGGGGGATTCCAGCACTAGCCAATTCAGATGGGTGCACGCGATCAGCAATGGAAACAGCTGATCCGCTACGGCTTCATTACTCCCAAACTTTCCAGCACGTAACGAGCCCAAACATTCACCACGTTTCTATTACTCCACCGCCGGGTTTAGACAATATCATCTTCACCGCGGAAGCTGTGTTGAGTAAGTTGTTATCCTTGCGTATCCACACTTCTCCTGGAGTCGACGACATCCGACCAAAGGCTCTGCAGGCGGTAGATAATGATCTAGCAGAATCATTGGCTGTTTTCTATCAGCGGTCTAGAAGAGAATCATATTCTACCAGTATGGAAGCAAGGGGTCATCACTCCTATCCATAAAGAAGGTAGCCACACTGACTCTAACAACTACCGCCTTATAACACTACTTCCTGTACTATACAAAGTAGTGGAATCAATCGTCGCAGATGCGCTGATGCAGTATCTGGAAAGTTACAACATAATAACCTCAGAGCAGCATGACTTCCATC